AGATCAACGTAAAGGAATCAAATGAATTTTTTTTCAAAATTGCTACTCCCACGCGATATCCTGTGAGCGCGTTAAAATGTAATAATCATTTTACAACTGATAAAAGACATTTCATTTTATTTCATTTTTCCTTGCATTGCAAGACAACACTATCTTTATGTTAAATTAACCCGATAAATTTGTTGATTATCTTTTTGTCTAGACAAAGACTCTTGCTTTACATTGCAGACAGTTATCTATATTGTCGAAGTAATTCTAGAGATCTTATTCACATAACCCTATATTTTTTTATGTGAAAAAGGAGAATTTATTTAAAAAATTTGACGTACGCACACACACACATGTTCGCGATTGTAGATATGGATATAATAAAAATAAATAAATACAATTACAATAAGATAAGCTTAATAATAAGCCAGATTATGCGTAAGATTATGGAATCGTAAAAGAATTCGTTAGAATCGTTTAAATTGCATTTTGTATTACAAGCTAAAAGTTTGGTTGATGAGGAAAGGCGGACTTGTTCGGACGACAAACTAAGCGTTATCATTGATAACGCGATCAGATAAAAGATTGTCGGGTGTACATAAACGGAAAAGCATACGTAGCTTTAAACATAGCTATTAATTTAATAAATTTGTAAGATAAAATAGCTACGCGATGTTTAATTATAATTGATATGATAGATAATTATAAAGAAATTTTTCCCGATATTGTTCGAATTAAATTTATCAGCGCAGCTAATATGGCGGACATGATTCTGGCCGGGATTCGGAAGACACGCCATGTTCCGTTGAGATAAAGTTACTCAATTTCCATTAGCATAGAACACTTGGCCTTTGCGGTATCCCCTGCTATCTATTAATCGTATACAAGTCGACCCAGATACTACTTCGGCAATATTTGACATCAAATAAATCTTTATATATAAACAAAAAATTAAGATTAAGATAAAATTAAAAAAAAATAAAAATAAAATATATAAATAAAAAAAAAGATAAAATATGTGTGATTAATATAAATAAAAAATTAAAATAAAATATATGTGATTAATTTGATAATCAACATTTTCATTTTAACATCTCAAGCACCAAAGATTTATACTATTAGGAATTAATAAAACAACCTCCTTCTATGTAATTTGGTTCTCTAATGCTGTTGGGAAGATAATCACCTGAAGATTAAACACATTTGGAGATTAAATAAACTGTGGTAGAAGACGGTAATTATACGAAACTGGGCTGCAAGTAACGTAAAATCTCAACGATTGAAAATTCAGGTCATGGAAACAACAAACTTGTGTTATAAATTTATGACATTGTATGACAATATTTTTTCTTCGAGAATATTAATATAATTAATATAAATGAGAGGAAGAGACAAATTTTTGCTTTTTTATATATTTAATTACACATACATGTTTGTTTTCGATAAACTACTTTTCGATGCGATTTCTATAAGTCTGCATATAATACACAATAATAGCGTAAACGACACTTGATGTAGACTGTACTTTGAAAGGAATATTATCTACGTGGATATCTACGTCATATCTTGAACAACGGATTCAAGGTAACCCGGACATAAAACGTTTCGTGCTTAACGCGAGTCCTGCTGTACAATTACAACGACAACAACATACATAGATTACAAGCTTGTGTAGCATTTCTATCAGAAATTCGTATGAAATTTGCCCGTCATGCCGGATATTAATTCGTAATGCAACAATATTTAAAAAAAATGAACTCATACAGTCATTCAGTAATGTAATTAAACGATGAGCACTTAATTGTGTCTTGCAGAAAACTTATACGATATAATTTAAAGAAATTATGTAATTACATAAACAACTTCTGCTTATAATTAATCATCGAGGATATTCTTTTTATCGCGAAAGAAATTTATATAATTTTAGATAACAAAAATAAGAGAAAAAAAGTTTAAAATATAAAATGTGGGGAAAATATAAAATGTAGGGAAATAATATATGATTGCTCACTTAAAAGTGGTTCGTTTTTTATAATGACGCATATTATAAAGATTTATGATTGTACACACTTGGCAAAATATTCTGACACGATTTTTATATAAAATATTGCAATGAAAGTTTCTACAAATATATATTATGCACTTTTTCACGCGATTATATATTATATATTCGCAATACACGATGAATATAGTGCATGCGTGCCATTTGTATTCGAGGTTTAAATAATTATATGTTATGTTTCTGTTGTCTTTTTTACGATGATTGTACACACTTGGCAAAATATTCTGACTCGATTTTTATATAAAATATTGCAATGTAAGTTTCTACAAATATATATTATGCACCTTTTCACGCGATTATATATTATATATTCGTAATACACAATGAATATAGTGCATGCGTGCCATTTGTATTCGAGGTTTAAATAATTATATGTTATGTTTCTGTTGTCTTTTTTACGAATTTTGTCTTTTTTCGCGAATCCTTACTACGCGAAATATTCAAAATTTGAGCAATTTAAATATGTTGAAATTAAACATGTGAAAATATAACGCATTTTATGATGCTTATACATGCACTCACGTGCGTGACTGAACATACACACGCAAATCATAATGTATTTTCCAAGCTGCAATCAATTGAAGACAATCGACAATCAACATCCATTAGGAAGACCTTGAAATTCAGCGACACCTCAATCGTCAATTAATACACCGACACGCGGCGCTGAGCCAAGTCACGATCGGATTCGCGGAAAACCACTTGGCTGATTCAATCGCACCGTAGTGTATCGTATACTTTACATGTACGCAATGATACGCACACATACATGTACGATACATATACATGGAGAGAGAGAAAGAGAGAAATAGCGAGAAAGGAAGGCGTCCATTCACGCATGATGCATGCATAAGAGAGAGTGTGTGTGCTACGTTCATTCATAAAAATCTCGACCTTCGCGGAAGCTTACTTTGCCTGAAGTAGATTATAATAAAAATTTGTCAATCGTAGGATTTCATTGAGTCACTTGAGTTCTATTCATCCGACCGGAATAAAACACGGTTGTCAGAAATTAATATTTTTCATAAGAGTCTCAATTTTATAAAAATATCTTTATTTTATAAATCTTTATTTTATAAAATATCTTAATTTTATAAAAATATCTCTCAATTTTATAAAAATATCTTTATCAAGATAAAATGACTCGTTAGTTTTAAAAAATTACTCTCTGTTAAATATATCAAATCGCAAAATTTTGTAACAATGTTTTTTTTACAGAAAGAATAAAACAGAGGTTAATCTCTTTTCATTTATACTTATAATATTTTAATAAAAAAGATAATTAATTGCCAAAAAAGGGAATGTTCATAAAAATAATTTCTACCCAAAAATGTAAAAATCAATGATCTAAAGATTGCACTCGGAAACTTTACTGCCTAGAGTGACAAAGATGTGTGCAATTATCAGCGCAAAAATATCTGAATAAACATACTTTTATGCCCAATAGAATGACTCACGTCATAACTTTACAGTTACGCTTATTTTCCCTTACTGCTTTATTTTATGCGAATGACAAAGTCCGATTGTTTCATTTTACAATTAATACATCTACACATATAATTATCATACACACATCATAATTTCATATGAAATTACGAATACTTAAATTCATTTTAAAAGCTTTCTTCAGTTAAAAAAAAATTAATTCTCACACGATATATGATGATACAAATAAAATACGATGTAAAGGTAAAAGCATCAAATCTAATCTTTTTTTCCAGCAAATATACATATACTGGAATTCATTGCACGATCCAACTAATGGAATATTAATTAGACTATGTAAATGTGATTAAATAACAGTAAAGTCTCAGTATAAAAAAGTCTCTTTCTGCTTGTCTAATTTACAGTCTAGACACACTATATACTTTGATTATTCTCGCGTGACTTACTCGCCAGACTCTTTTGTACAGTGATTTGCGCCGAGTAATTTTGTCGGGCTTCCAGGACTATCTAGTATAAATAAAAGTTTCGAGAGCTTTAATAACATCTCTCGGTCCTCTTGTTTTAATTAAAAAATTTAAAACTACTCCGATTTTATCAAGTATATTTTTTCTATTTTTTTATCTAAATATTTTGAATATATCATGAAATTCCATTATATATATACATGTGCGGCTACTCTTTGTAAAACAAAATCAAAATCAATACAGAGGTAGCTACGAAAGAATACATGCGATAGCAAATCGATTGGTTAACTTTCACGCAGTAGAAACGGTTGATTGTCAAGATTGTCATTTTATACGAAACTAGAACACTAGTAAGTTAGACAGACGGTGCTCTTCGTGTCCGATATGAGAGATGAGTCAGTTTTAAAGAGCTAATCTCTGTGCTTGGAATATAATGTCGTATGAATTGATTCTAATGTCAATTTTCTGCTCGTGTATCATTCTTACGACATATCTTCTTTTGCGCGGGAAAAGAGCACGTCTTGTGTAACATCGGATTTTGTTACATATTTATATTTTATTTAGTTTATATTTTAAGGTGGTAGAATAAAAATATATCACGTATGATCGATGAGATTTGCACGTGTGTAAAAGAGAAGCGAGGCATGTATTGACAAAAATTATTCTGTAATCGCGCAATTATAATTATTAATCAAAAATAATTATTGAACAAGATTGACAAACGAAACTAAGGATTTGAGTAAATTTACACGTAGATAAGACATAGATATCTTTAGTTGCTTCACTTTCGAAGCTCGTAAAACGTCAAGGTTACATTGTGACACAGAGTTTAAAGGCCGATTCTTTGCAAAGTGACTAGATTTTTCTACTTGTGATTTCACGTTATGATAATGCAGCCTTGAATAGATATAAATAAAAGATATCTTTGGATCACCGAAATATGCACGTACTAAGAAAGCAATATTCTCATGTTTGGGCACAAATTATCGCATATCCTGAGAACACAGGTGTTTTAAAGGGTATTTTTCTTAATGTTGCAGAATTATCTGGCGCAATACGGATATTTGCCGCCAATAAATCCAGAGAGTGGTGCCTTCTTAAGCGAAGAAAAGCTGACGGCAGCGATAGAAGAATTTCAAGCTTTCGCCGGTCTTAACATAACGGGTATGTTATATATATATATTATTTGCTTAAATTTAATTTCAAATGTTATATACGTGTAGGGGAGAGTAGTAATTGTGCAAAATTTATTACTGGGTCAGTTGATGAACGTATCCTCATTGATGACTCACGCAGAAAATTACAAAGGATGCGTTTATTCAACGTCGCCAATGTATCCATGTGACTCAAAAAGAAAAAAAGCAAGAATAGCAAAAAATGTGTGAAATTGTAGAGGTACAATCATGCGCGCAATATGTCAAGTTGCTTGAGGAATGATAACAGTAGGTGGTTCCCTGTCTATAGTGTAATAGCGATGATTCAGAATTCAATGAAATGTGACCGAACTCAACTCCGCGGCGTTTCAGCAGTGATTCATTACTTGTAACACCCGCACCTTTCCCTCCCCCTCTCTCTTTTTGTCGCGAGAAATCATTGTGGAAATATCATTATGAAATATCGATTAGAAAAGTACGCAAGAAATTTTAAAATAAAAACAAAACAAAACATTGCATTTTGCACAACTGCGATTGAATATTATAAAATTTCTCAATAATTTCAAGTTTATTGAGAAATACAATTTCACACATTTTACTATGTTTTATCAAATGTAGGCTGCTGGTAGTTTAAGGAAATGTATGAAAAAAAGATATAAAAATAAAAGGTGGAAAAATTGATTCGACAATATTTCGCAAAAGTTTCGCCAGTCATTAATGATAGTACACGAGAGTCTATGGCAGACTAGAACAGGCAACGGAGTCCAATGAAAACCGAAGGTGAACGGAAGAATGATCTAACTGTAGAATTGTAGGCCATCGGCCATAATCGTACGCATTGTTGATGCATCCACGATCACGAAAAAAATAAAAAAAAAAGAGGAAGAGGAAAAAAGAAAAAAAAATAAACTAAAAATATCTTTACAGTAACGATTTTCATTTTCATTTCGCGATATTACTTTTCAAAATCGTAAACCACGGTTCATTTACGTATTCGTTGGAACAAGAATTTTTCTCAAGGCAGGTAAGGAAGGTGGGAAGAAGTCGTGACAGAATGAATTTATAAAATTAAAAAATTACGAAATATAAGAAACGACACACGTAAGAAGTTTCAAGGCCGCTTCGCGAGATGAGATACACTTCTTGCAAGATTGCAGCCCAGAAAAAAAATATAATCCCCGTCGCGTATCGCGCTCCGAATCTTTGCGGCAACGATGAATCTGTAAATATCGAGTCGCGTGACCGCGCTGCGAAACTAGTGGTAGCATATGCACGAGAGTTAAGTCTCGTATTACTATGCATATTATGCATACATGCCTGAGAATTTAGTACGTGCACGGGGTTCACGACAATACATATATATACACATACACACACATACATATCAGCGTACCTACCTACGCATAAGAGATATAAACTGGTACACGAAAATATATGCACACAGGCCGTACTTCAGAAGAATCAATATACGCGCGAATCCAGCCACTTAATCACTTTTATCACGCACATTACTTGAAGATGATGGGAAATAATAAGACATAAAACACTTCTTTATTAAGAAGTAATAAGTAGTTCTAGAGACTGAAGACAAATAATATTTATATTCAATTTTTCGCACGTTTTTGTTGCAGGTGAATTAAATGAAGAGACTGCTAAACTTATGGCTACACCAAGATGCGGTGTTAAAGACAAGGTTGGACCAGCTGCTGATGGAAGGTCGAAGAGATACGCTCTTCAAGGTGAATGAAATAACGTACAAAGTTTAATCTCAACAATGATTACGTCATGTTTTATCGCGGAATCGAATAATTTATAAATAATTTGACACGATGATTGACAAATTTAAGAAAGTTTAATGCAATCTGGATTGCGTAGACGTAACCGCAGGATATGACATAACTTTACGTTTGATCAATTGCAATCGATTATCTAACTCGACGTGCACATTTGTTATAAAAATCCGTCGGTGAAAAAGTGTTCATAATTCAAAGTTGATTGAATATTAATAACTCGGCTGTTACGAGATTATGAAAAGAGAACCAACGCGTTAGATCTTATTAAATATAAGGATTATTTCGCGCTTTACATTGCGCGAATTTTTGTATCCATTTTACGAATATAAATTCAACTGAGTCGCACATTCCGACTTCCTGCTTTGTCTCGCTACTATTACGAGTCATTGATATAGAGTCAGTCACCCTAAACGGGTCATGCGGATCTGTATCATGATAATGGCTCGTCGGATGTTCCAGATGCATTATAAAGTCGCATACGAAGTTGACAATTGCATTCCACGTATGTACCTCGCTATTTAATGATGAAAGACAATTGGCCATATGATCTTACATCTGATGAATACCTTGTCTTCGAATGAAAAATGTGCAATTAGCAGATGTGTACATATTTATAGCTAATGTGCAATCAGCAAATTTGTAGCTAGATATTTATAGCTAGGTTACAGTTCACTCACATTCATATGCAAGGAAATATAAATCTTTGAGACATGAAATTGATTCATTGACATTGAACAACACTTGGATAAACGATCCAATTGCTTTGGTCAAGCCGTATCGAAAATAAAGGAGTACCGCAAAGATATTCTTATGCGCGACACTCATACACTATATCATTGGAATAACAAAGCGTATGATTGTGCAGCTTCGAGCTAACCGTGACTTTGAACCTAAGCTACGCGCACGTGCTCTTCATGTTTCAGTGAACTTGCTGCTAAGTTCGGCCATGCGTGCATCCTACAGAATGTCTGTCGTAAAATTTAACACCTAGCGGTAACCTAATGTTTCTAGTTTTTCATTCTTTCGAATTTCGCACAGCGACGAGCGAATCCTTGCGTAACTCGTTGCAAACTATGCACGATATCATAATTATCAAGCATATATATATATAAACAGCTGTTGCATAAACGGTAGCTTTGTAACCGTGATGAGCATATAACACGCGAGCTGTGATTTTTATTCCTACATCATATAACAAACAACGAATGCGTGATGACAATGATAGCGTGGCTGCGGATTCCGCAAATTTATACGTGAAAAAATAGGAATATTACACTTGTATGCATAGAAAAAAAATAAGTGTCAATTCTAAATTTAATATACTTAATAAATAAATTTAATATACTTAAACTAACGCGTTCATTGCTTCGTATATACGCAACAATTTATGATCTTCTTGGCAGTAATTTTAAATTTCAACAATATTATTAGTTAATTTTTATTAATTATTATTATTAATTAGTCTTATTTTAATATTGTAATTGTCATCTCGAGATTATACAATTATTTAATTCTACTTTAAGAAAATTATCTTTCATTTAATAATGTTATTTTCTACCTAATATTGTTTCGTTTCTTATTCAAGACAATTAAATCTTAAATCGTAAGAATATATTTTTCTTGATTGAACTATATAAAATGGCTTCATTCAAGTGAGCAATTATATTTTTCTTTAATTAACGCAATATAATCCCATTTCAAGATTTCCACGTTAAAATTAAATATATATTTTCAAAACAAGAATGTCCTTTTTTTCTGTGTGTCCGGAATCACGATGCGATACCAAATAAATAGTAGCGACAGCGTAACGGATGTGCATGTGATAGAATAGCCGAGGGAAACCTGGCCTAGGAAGCTGACGCGACAATAGCGCTGCAATACTATTAAACAAAGCAAATGTGCCACTGTACACGCTTCACGTATAAAACTTATACTTTTTCTCGTCCAGGGTCCAGATGGCGTACAAAGAATCTAACGTACAAGCTCAGCAAGTATCCGACTGGTCTGAACAAACAGGAAGTGGATAAAGAAATCGCGAAAGCCTTTGGCGTTTGGTCAAATGAAACTGATTTGACATTCACCCGCAAATCGGGACACGAAAACGTAAGGCAACAAAAAATACTGTGATAGAAAAATGTATAATTTATACAATTATAATATAATTTATAATATAATTTATATAATTTAATTATAATATAATTTATAATATAATTTATATAATTTAATTATAATATAATTTATATTTTCTATATTTATATACTCGAGGATCATGATATATTCTCTAAGGTCTGGGGTTCTTGTTTAGGTTCATATCGAAATTAGATTCGAGGTAGGCGAGCACGGAGACGGTGATCCTTTCGATGGACCTGGTGGTACCTTGGCGCACGCATATTTTCCCGTATACGGTGGCGATGCTCATTTTGACGATTCTGAACGTTGGACTATCAGAAGCTATCGCGGTACCAATCTCTTCCAGGTCGCGGCTCATGAATTTGGGCACTCGCTCGGCTTGAGTCACAGCGACGTTAAAAGCGCACTGATGGCACCCTTTTATCGCGGCTACGATCCGCACTTTGTTCTAGACCAAGACGATACCGCCGCTATTCAGGTATTTACATTTCTCATAAATGAGAGATGACCGGAAAGATTACACAGAAAGAAATAAGTGTCAAATCAAAACTTATACACTTACTCTAACGCAACAATTTATAATCTCCTTTGAAGAATTTAATAATTTTAAATTTCAACAATATTACAGTCTTATTTTAATATTGTAATTGTCACCTCAAGAATATATAATTATTTAATTCTACTTTAAGAAAATTATATTATTATATTTTTAATTATATTTTATTATTTTATTTTTAATTATATTTATTATATTTTATAATTATCTTTGATTTAAAAATGTTATTTTCTATCTAACATTGTTTCTTTTCCATTCAAGAAAATTAAATCTTAAATCATAAGAATATATTTTTTTTTATTCAACTATATATAAAGTGGCTTCATTCAAGTAAGCAATTATTCAAGCAATTATATTTTTCATTAATTAACGCAATATAATTTCGCAATCTCATTTCAAGATTTCCATGTTCAAATTAAATATATTTTCAAAACAAGAATATTTTTTTTTCGGTATAGCCATTCAATATGTGAAATATGAAAAAATACGGTAATTTCAGGCTTTATACGGGGAGAAAACCAAGCATATACCACGAGGTGGAACACCTCACGGAAGTGCTTCGCCACCTGCTGAAGAAGATCCTGAATTGTGCAAGGATCCGAAAATCGATGCAATGTTCAGTACTAAAGGAGGCGAAACGATTGTGTTCAAGGGTACGCACATGAGTTAGAATTTCTTGATTGTTAGCGTTTAAGTCTCATCAAATGTACAAACAATATGAATACCGAATATTACGGAAATTTATGGAATTTTCAGGAAAACATTATTGGAAATTAACAGACTACGGTGTAGCTAGTGGCTATCCTAGACTTATTAATAGCGCGTGGAAAGAGCTTCCGTCAAATATAGACGCCGCATTTACGTACAGAAATGGCAAAACTTATTTCTTCAAGGTAAAACTGTTTATCGAGAAGCTAAGATAAATACACAAACTTATACCTTACGTATTTGTGCGCCGTAAATTGTAAATTTTATCCTAATTCATCAACAACTGTTGTTTCAGGGAACGCAATATTGGAGGTATATTAATACAACTATGGACGGTGATTATCCGAAGGAAATTAGCGACGGTTTCACCGGTATCCCCGATCACATTGACGCGGCTACTGTATGGACCGGAAACGGCAAGATTTACTTCTACAAGGGTACGAAATTTTGGCGCTTTGATCCGGCGTCGAAGCCACCAGTGAGGAGTAACTATCCTAAACTTATTCAAAACTGGCAAGGTATCCCGGATCACATCAACGCAGCAGTAACTTACAAAGGTTACACGTATTTCTTCCAAGATAACGCCTATTATCGATTCAACGACCGAATGTTCAGGGTATGTAACTTAAAAAAGGGATATTGAATTAAATTTGTATTATTTCCTGTACTTTTTCTCTATGATAATATTTGTTAAAAGAGTCTCATTAAACTTGAAGCAATATCACAGTAACATGACAATAACACTGTAATAATACATGCTCTCTCCTTCTTTTTTTTCTTTATAATTGTATTTTAATTTAATATAATATACGGGATAAAAGTATGAATAATTATTTTTGATTTATTAGGTGGACGATGCTGATCCCGCCTTCCCAAGATCGACGGCGTATTGGTGGTTTGGCTGCAAATCCGCTAATAAAGGGACGCTAGGTAATGATCTCTGGCCATTCGCATTTGCCAGCAATCTGGACGTGGCTGACATGCACGACGATTACAATAATCTTGACAGCGTCGGCGACATCATCTTAGACGCAGGTATAAAATCTTTCAAATCCTGCCTAGCCTCGTAAAAAAATTTGAAGATGTCCATTAATCGCGTTACAACATTTATGAAAATATTTCTCGAGAGTCTTGTAATCTTTACGCATCTCTCCTTTTATATTCAGTTATAAATATAATCCTTTATCGACGAATAATTATATAATTCTTACTATATCATAATTACTAACTGTCGTAAAAAAATAATACGTAATAAAAATATTCCAAGAATAACGAGATGAATAAGTTTCCGCGAATCTGCATGAATTGCACATCCTTTAAATTAATGCTCCGGAGAATCTCGCAACAATAAATACCTAGTGGTTCGTTCCGCTCGTTTTACTTTGTTGAAAATAATCAATGTGAACGAAATTGAAAATAATTCCCCTAATACAGAGGCAGGCAGGAAACGCGATATTAAAAAGATTTTCTCGTGCACCTGGCTATTACGATACTAGGGCTACATCGCGAAAAGAGACACGTGCACGCGATATTTTTCTAAAAAAGATTTATCAGATTTGATCAGATTTAAATCTTCAATGACTGCGAGTTGTTCGAATACAATAGTTGATGTATATAACACAATATTAGAACCGGTAGATTGAAATTAAAAGATCTTTTGCAACGTGTGTGTCCTCTGATATAATATATTATGAACATCATGATTCATGATTTCATGATGGCTCTTTCACATTTCGTGTGTTTTATCAAGTCATAAATCGCTAAAATCTGATGCGACGCGTAGATAATATTGTTGCATGATGTGAAAAGTATTTCGCGGACATTATTAAACATAACTTAATTCAAGAGGGAGCACATTTCGATGCATCAAAATTTGCGAATTCTAAAGTATTGAAAAACAAAATAAAATGTTTACGCTCGATTGATCTACATAAAAACATTCATAACATTAATTTGGGGATTTTAATGTATGGTGTGTGTTGGCTATTTATATAATTAATATAATAAACTAAAGATAAATAATCACGTTGAGAGAAAAGTACAAATAACATTAATTAATATTGATTAGTTTTGTAAGGAGATTATTTATCGCTTATTATTCATACGCTACATTATATTTATACGTTGTATATAAAGCACCAATCTATCATTGATTAACACAACCATTTTTATCGCCATTATTTTAACCATTTAATCGCCACTCATCAAATCATATCATCATCATATCATTATGGTTTCACAGATTTACCATTTTGAATCTAATATCTCCACACATTGTTGATAACCTCGCGACGTTATGATTACGCCAAAGCCCAGAGTATTTATTAGCCAGGCGACGGATGAGAACAGAGTTTTATTATTGAAAAGATCACGACATCGAAAAGTAAACGATGATCGAAAACTCGGTTTGTGTCATCGTCGCCACATCCAGTTTGACAAGACAAAAAGTAAATATCGTATGAGTAAGACATTTTTTCACGTTTCCTCTCTTTTCATTTCTGTCTCATTTACACGGACAGCTTTTATTAGCACATTACAATTGTTGTGGGGTTGTGGCGTACTAAGCTTTTTCTCCTCTTCACATACTCTAACTTCATCTCTTTTACACGTGATTTTTATTTTATGTTGGGAAAGTAGTATTATTATATTATAAAAATATCATTTTGTGTTGCATGAACCTTTTCCTTTGTCTTATCATCGCTCACAACTTGATTGTTACATGTAATGTATAGTTAATTAATCAAATAGTTAATCGTTACACCAGCACCAATTTATTTCAAAATCTATACACATAAGGATACACGTGCACACATCTGCACACAAATATGAAATAAGATCTGGTGCATGAGTAATCATTGCCACTGGCAGTTGCGTTGTTTGGAACTTAATATTGCATAAAAACATAAAGGTTTTCGACTTGTTCCTCCTAATCTAACAATGTGTTGACACTTACGAAAAACTTCCCTCCAGTTCTAATCTTTATCTGTTTTTCTAAATTCTTTTATTGATTTTATTTTTGTTATATTTTATTCGCACAAAAATTCTACTTTATACGCACGTTACGTATAATTTTTTACTTTTTCTAATACATACCTTTTCGCTATTTTCTCGAATGTTCGACGTGTTTGTCGAGATTTAATCCTCTGGAAACACGGCATGCATCGTAAGTTACACATCTTTCCCTTTTCTCTCCGACCTGTAATTCAATGACCAGGTGTATAGAGGGAAAATGCACACATATACACACAGTATTATTAATAATTTAAATTTTCCTATCTCGAATTTCCTTCGCCCCAATATGCCTCTTATTTCAATTTATTTTCTATTTTATTATTGATTATTTAGAAATCTCGAAGAAGCCATAAAATATATTTTTTTCTTTAAAATTTAATGCACAATTTTATTTTTTACAATTTTTGTTACTTTTATATTATATTCATTTCTTTATTTTGTTTTATTTTAATATAATTTTGTTTTACTAAATACATGATAAGTTCAATCTAAAAATGTAAAAAGTAATTTACGCAACTGATATATGTATATATATATATATATATATATATATATATATATATATATATCATGTGTTTGTTACTTGGAATATATATATATATATATATATATATATATATATACATGGTGTATCTTAAAAAGCTCCCACTAAGCAAACAGCGTTATTCCTAATTAAAAATCGAGTCGAAAAGTCCTGAATCATTTTTTTCCATAATGCTTAATAAAGCAGTAATTAATGAGTAAAGTCGCGCCAATAAAAAGACAAACTTCCTCGTTATCAACATATGAAGATTTGGATAAGCAAAAAAATAAACTGTTTTATGTTAATTTTTAAACAATTCATCTTTTCAGAAATCTTTTTAATATTTAAATCTGATTAATTATTTAATGAATCTTGGAAAAAAAATAGTTCAGGACTTTTCGACTCGGTTTTTAATCAGGAATAACGCTATTTGCTTAGTGAGAGCTTTTTAAGATACACCCTGTATATATAAAATTCATGTATTGATATTTACGTACAACTGATGAAAAATCTTCCAATGGAATAATTTTCTGTAGACAATGATTTCAATATATTTGATACGACACTTATAATCGCATTTTTTCACTTTTTTATGTTGCAATAGTAAGAAGTTTTAATTTTCAATTTAAAATATCCGATTGTTGATATATTGGATATCGCGAACTTTTTCTCATATACTTTTAATATATTCAATTATTGTCCGATATATAAGTTAAATTCTTTACTTCCACGCACTTATTGGTAACATAAAACCTATAATTCACACCGTAAACACTAATATGAGCAAGTAATAACCAGATGATAATTCATAAAATTTGAGGAGATTTAGCCTCTCGAGCCAAGACGATCAACCACCCGCATTAACCGGGAGCAATCGCCTTTTCCAGACGACAACAATGTACATTCCGAATTCGGGAAAAAGTGAGCGGTCGAAGCGGCACGTCCCACGATCGGTGCACGCACGCGCGTGCCAAAATCTCGATTATTTACGCGCAGAAAAATCAAATATATAGTTCCAAACAACAATGGCAACTGGCAGCGGCAACCGAGAGCAAACGACCGACGCACCGCGCACTGTTTGATCGGCACAGTTTCGCGCTGTCAAACACGCGCATGCGCACGATCAATGCGGCGCCGGCGCGCCGTCCAATCACGTTGTTACGCGCGAGACCACGTGCTACTACGATTCCAATTTCAACTCGACAGGAGGAACCGACGAGCTCGTCACGTCACCGAATCACAGTCATGCGGACTCTGGGGCGCCCGAAAATTTGTCGATTCCAGCAGAGAAGACGTGGCAGCTTCTATCCAGCATCATGACCGTAATTGTTGCGAGATACGTAGTATCTACGTAAAAGATAGAGATCTTATAGTACTTGTTATAAGGTTTCTAGTTTTAATGGGGGCATGCGAGCGCTGCTCCGAAAAAAACGTATCTGCCGTGATAAGTTTTGCGGTCGGAATCGTTATCAATGCGGTGATTTAGGAAAACTAGCGCCCTTCTTCCCGATAATTAAATAGATAGCTAGAAAATTGTGAGCAGCGTCATCGCCAGCTAAACCGTTAAACTGCGTGGCTGCGCAAGCGCATTAATTAAAAATGATTCGCGCAGCTGTGTGTGGCGCGTATTTCAACTTGCACACGTTCTGTTATAATTGCCAGTGCAAAATACGTATACGCGAGAATATATATTATATTCTATCTTTGAGTAATGTTTTAATACGCAGTAATGTAACACAGAACATTCTACACTGCCTATTTATTCGTGTATCCATTTGCAAAGACTTTGAACATTGGAAATGTTTACGGATTTCTTGGAACTCTACTGTTCCATTAGATCGCGCGATGTATAAAGGATATGCGACACTTTGAGAGACATGACAATTAATGATTAAAAAGTAATGATCAGAATTCTGACTGACAATACTATCGAAAATGTTTCTTGATTAAAAAAGTATTACATGGGTATTATAGATTTTTTATTTATTTGTATGCTAAAATATATTTTCTGTATACTTATTATTCTTTCAATGTTAATCTACTTTATCCAGTGTTTAATTTGCGTACTTTGTCCACATTTATAAATATATAAATATCTATAATACTCATGTCAACTATTACGTTATGTTACAATTATGCTAGGGTAATTGTTATCTTATGTGCCTTACAAATATTTTTGTAATTTATACATCAAAGAGAGGATATGTAAATGTCAGATCTGTCCAAATGTAGCTTTTTTTGGAATGTTAAATCAAGTATCTGGTCACTTACATGTCATCAATGTCAATTAGGCGACACTGTGTAAGTTTGAAGACAACATCTGTTTTTATATAATGCTTTCATGATTTCTCCTAATGGTAGCTTGTTTATCTTTGATTTTATATGCAATTATACACACACACACACACACACACATATATATGTGTGTGTGTGTTTGTGTGTGTGTGTATATATTAGATATTATTAGCAACTAATGTAAATTGTATTAAATGGATTTCTCTGACATTAATAGTGCTGTGTGTGTGAGAATTTATATATAAAGTTCTTATGTATAAAGAGTTTAATTCTCAATTTTACAAAATGAAAGTGCACTGTAAACTGTATTTTACGAAATGTATAATGTTATCTCTCTTCCTTAATAGAGAAAAAAAGATAGTCCAAGAAAAGTTGTCAAAAACCGTCTTCACTGTAACCAATGTTAAAAGATGTTTAAAACAAGTATTAATATATTACATATTTTCTTACATTTGAAAAAGTGTCTTAGTAATACTGTAAGTATTTTGACCAGTACTTAATTGTTAAGAATTACTTTTATGTATATTATATTAGTAGAGTAAAATGAAAAGCAAGAAAAGCCTTGTACTTTTTATTCTTTTATTTGTTGAATAAAAGAATCTCTGTAAAAGAGAAATAAAAAAAAATTGTATTTATTTTAAATTAAATTAAAACTAAATTATTACTTAATAACATATGCAGTTCTAACATCAATTATTTGAATTCAATTATACAAGGTCTTTCTTTATATTATTATTGACTTTAGGGTGTTAATAGTTCATTGAAACTTGCCATGTTATTATGTCGCGCCCTGAATAAAATCTCTATTGTATTATATTCTTCACTGTCATATAAATAGCATTAATTAATATGTATTTTTATTTTAACTATTGTATATTTTTAATTAAATATTGAGCGTTACAAAATTTATACTCTTTGTTTAATATACTCTTTGTTTAATATACTTATGTTACATTATTGAAAGAAACTAGTACTTGTATAAAATTATCACAAATACTTATTTTTTTCTTTTTGATTCGTACAAATTTTTTTTTAATACTGGCATATGTTAAAAATTTACCGTAATTTTATAAGTAGCTGTTTTTAAAAATATATAACCTCCGACAATCGTAAATTATTATATATAAAATCTCTATCGCGATATGCAATCTCTTTCACTAAATCATCATTATTTCTTGCAAATTCAAATCTTTGAAAATATAGCAAAAAACAAAATAAAATTAATTAACCATGATAATTTAAATTTAAAAATAAAGTAAGGTAAGGATAAAGGATATATAATTAGATATTTTAACATTATACTCTAATTATTTTTGATCTGCATTTTTAGAAAGAGATATGTAATGAATCCATGGTTTCATAGCATAATAGTAAAATTCAGTCCATTTGTCGCCCATATGGAAAACTAACGAACGATATAAAAACAAATTGCCTAAATAAAACTGCCATATCTCGAAAATTAAACAAGTATTTATATATATAATGTGATTCGAAAAACACGTTTGACACTGATGGTGTATGCAAAATATCTTAAAATAATGTTAAAGTTTATATAATAATGTTATAGACTGCCAATATTTAATATGTATAATTTGATAAATTACATTATGTAATTATACCTCTTTCCATGATTTTTGGTATATTGAGCATTCACCAAATAAGGTTTATTACGGCTTAATGAAACTAAATTATCACATCCCGAATTTATTTTGAAAGAATTCTTCACTTTCTTTTTCTCCCATGGAATCTCTGAACTTGATTTATTTAAAATTTTACAACGTAGATCCCATTCATTTAGATCATGAGAATAAAATGATAGCAGCTTTCCTAAAACGCCCATGATGAATACATAATATTGCAATGTCTATAAATATATTTTGCAAGCTTCTCAACTTTCATTACATAGGCAAATATAACTTAATTGCATAAATATGTTCAGTAAAATCGTCTGGATTGATATTAAAATATTCATTGGATTGAGGATAATCTCTGTTTCTATTTATTAAATCTATATCTGATAAATTGCCAATTACTTTTCATAGAAAATGTTCTTCCAGTATATCTGGCTGAAAACAATATTTTTCTTTGCATAATTTTCCTTTAATTATTTAATAAAATATACCTCTATTATAATTATAATAGAGTTTAATATAAATAAAAAACAGAGGAGATCGATATTACTTTACTAATGTAGATCAAGATATTACAACCACCTGTTTTTTGCAATAATTATTTCTTCGCTTATGCCCTTTTATATTTAAAAAGACTCCCATATAATGACATCTTTAAAGCAGGAATGCTTTGTATTATTACTTTCTTTATAATTTTATTCTACATCTTGAATCGCCATATTTTTAATATCTTTGTTGCTATAGAAAGAAGCAGTATAAATTGGATTTTACATTATCTTTTTTTATTATATTATCATTAAAAATCTTTCGAAATTATTGCAATGAATTTTTATCCAATGTTGATATACTATAGAAAGTTGTAAATATACACAATATATTAACGGATTTTACAACTGATTTTACGTACAAGTTATCTTTTCATTTCTAATTACCATGCTATCTAACATATCCTCTTTTTCGATTATTCTAAATTTATTTGAATTATTATGGCCTGTCGTATTTCTTCGGCCCTTTCTCCTAAGATCGTAAGAACTTGATGTGTTTCTTCCTTTTTGTGGAGTCTATCGGAATATTTTCTATGGCCATTTGTTTTCAAAAATTCTTAAAGATATTCAAATTACTGAACTACTCTTTTTCTATATTCTCTCGATTATTTTATCTTCTACTCCTATGTCATTAAAAAATATTAATATAATTATGTAATATATATAATTATATATAATATATATAATTATATAATATATAATTTTGGTATCTCTCTTAATCTGACTCTTCCCCTTCGACCTGTCCGGCATGGGTGACCCTATCAGTAACTATATGGCTGGTATTCATAATCTACTCTTATTTAAGATCGTTTTAAGCAAATTGGAAATTGTTACACTATTTTAATAACTGAACGGAATCTTAAGACTAACGATCTAACAATAAGATCATACGTAAAATGATCTTAAATATAAAAATAGTCTATATGAATCGGTACATTACCGCCGCTATAGGTCTCAGGTTTCACGAAAGTACACAAATCTCCTCACCCTTTGTTATTATAATACTAAACTAAATTATAATACGAAACTATAGTAAAATATTATAAAATATCGATTCTCTGATAGTCGTTATTTATAATGACGTTATTTATAACGACTATCAGAGAGTCAATATTTTAATATAATAATATTATATATAATAACTTTATATTAAGTTAGAGTAAAGTTTAAAAACAATATATAAAAACAAATTCTACGATGGATGAGCTATGAGCAATTAAAAAATAAGTGCGTATTATAAGAATAAATTAGCATCAAAAATTGATAAAATTGATAATTGAAATTGTTAATGGATGTCCTTTATTTAATAAATTAGACAAAATCTTTACCAAAAAATTTTTTTTTATCTCTTCTTTTTTTAATTAAATTTCAATATATTTTCGCAATAAATGTAAAGCATAAGTTCGAAAGAACTTATTAAAATTATTTAATTTAATTAATTTAATTTAATTATTTTATTTAATTTATTTAATTTATTTAATTTAATCCATCCTAGCTCATCCATTTTAAGGCAACGGATTTATCTACAATCTATAATCTACATCTGCAATCTCTACGAATCCGTTACCTTAAAGTTAAATAAAAATTTTTTTCACTCACCGGTACTGATGCGCAACAGCGGAGTTGTTGTATGTCGAAGCTAGTTGTCTGTAACATACAAATATAAAATTCATTTATAATAATGCTCACAAGATGTAATTAATATTTTAACAAATTTTTATCGCGCGGAATTTTATATTCGATGTGTAAAATAATAAGCGGATAAACACGTATGGAAAAATTTTATACATTTTTGAAACTGTTTTTTAAATAGAAAATTTTATATGACTTTTATAAAAATCTTTCTTTTTAATTCATTTAAATAATAAGATCGAATTATTGTTTGTTTATAACAAGTTAACGATTTATAACAATTAATATATAAATAATAATATTCACCATCAGGTTGTTCCGCCGGTGCAGGATGCCTCTCCTAGGCCTGCTCCTCCTCTCAAATCATCAGGATTGTTGCATCGATCTATAACAAACAAAAAAAGATTCCAATGTAGCAGTGTTCAAAATAATTAATATTTCAAAAATTATTGTATACATTGAATTATACATTCGATACATACAATAATAACAGATTAATAAAATAATACTATAAATTTTAAAAAACATTACTAATAATTCGCTTATAATTTGATAAAAGCTTACACATTTACAAGATTATAGTTTTAATTTAAAAATCTTTTTCTTTAATTCTCCCTTATTTAAATATAAATAAAAAAATAAAAATAAAAACATCAAATTTGTTGTTGCGATTAATTGTTTAATTTAAATTATAATAAATATATTTAATATTTAATATATAATTACAAATAAATAAATTGCTTACCAGAAGGTTGCTCTGCTAGAGTCCGAGGCCTCTCCCAGGCCTCCTCCTCCTCTCATGTTGTTGGCGCGCGATAATTTAACGACACTCCCGCACTCGCGAGCGATATTTTTATATCGCTATTTTCGTTATTTTACGCGCGATACTGAACGGCACTCACGCACTATTTCGATTAAATGCGGTTAAAAATTTTATGTTTGATCGCGCTATGTATATACTTAATATGTATATACATTTAACGGCACTCCCTAATATGTATATACCCAACGCGACGCGTTGACGAAGCGCTTGCCGTCCGCGGAACGTTGACGGCACCGACGACGTGAAAAGGTACTTAGCTTCCCTTTCAGATACCTTAAGATTTATCATAAATTGAAAAATTTAAAATAAATCTCAAGGAACCATCCAAGTACTAAGCCCTCCCACCGCGACAAGGTGTACCCTATGGGAGGGTTATATTATATTATATATAATTTTATATATAATATAATATATAATTAATTTTGTAATATACTATATCAATTTTATAACTTATAAAAATATTAATGACTTATATCTTATTGAGCCATCCATTTCCAAGACCTTCTTTTTTTCTTTTGTTTCACGTGGCACTCCAATTCTGGTTGCGCTCATTTGAATTCCACGTTGCACTTACACTCACGAAAAGTTCCTTGTTGCACTTACAATTGTGTTCAGAGAAAGAATTTGATAATATATGATACGTCTCACATCACTACCTCACTGCTCAAGAGCCACTGATCGAATGATCGTAAGTCAGAAACAATCGGGGTACTGTTTATATCGCCAAGGTTGACTATGTAAAGAATTTGATAACATGTGAAACGTCTCTCACGTCACTACTCAAGATCACTGTACGAATGATAATAAAGCCATGTAACATATTAACAATAGCGCTATATTGTTTATCAAGGTCGAACACGGTGTTATTGATAATCTTCTCGTTGCCGAAATATTTTCTGTAATATAAAATATTTGCGCGAGAAATATTAAATTATAGAAGTGTTTTAATTTAATGATTAAGATTAATTGATTATTTATTAAATTATTCATCATGAAGTTTTTTGTTATGCTAATTATTTGTATTTATAATTCGATTGTTTTATTTTGTGTTCCCTCATAATCTAAATTATATTTAGATTATCAAGCAGAACGATAAAATAACACCGATGAAATATATTTTACTCTAAGCATTATTAAAATAATAATTATTGTCCGTAAAGATCGCAACGATTGAAGTGATTATTTAATATTTTGGATCCCTATAATTGAATCGATTCTCGATTAAATTGTGTATTTAATTAACAATTTTTATTGAGAAAATTTAAAGCATTGGTCGAAATATATTTAATTCTAATATTGTTAAAGCAATATTATAATAAGCATCAATGATCGAAAGATCATAACATAATTAATTCTCTTATCCTTTTTTTATGTATCTCCTGTTTCAATTTTTAATCGCGGTAATGAATGATTCGATAAAGATTTATCGTTTGCGTTTACACTTTCGTTAATAAATTTTTAATTAATTAATTTTTATTAATATTTATAGCAAATTATGTTTCGATACTAATCGTAATCGTTTAGTAAAAAAAGTACAATATTCGAAGCGTTTCTCACCACTACTTTATTACTCGAAAATCACCGTGCGAATGACAAAGCCGTAACGTATAGCGCGCTACTGTTTATATTTTTATATGGCCAAAATCGAACACCGTGTTATTAATAATTCGTTGCCGAAATATTGTATGTACTATGATATATATGTATATGCGAAATATTAAATTATGAAAGTATTTTAATTTATAAGATTAATTAACGATTTTACTTATTAAATAATTAATGTTTAAATTAGGAGCCTTTCGTAATATTAATTATTTGGAACTACAATTCGATTGTTTTATTTGGCATTTTCAATCTAAATTATATTTAGATCTTAAAAAAATAAAGCGACAAAGCGCATTATGGTGAAGCGCATTATGGTGAAATATACTTGATTCTAAATATCATTAAAGAAATAATTATTGTTCGTAAAGATCACAATAAAACAATAATTTATTATTTTAAATTTCCTCCTCGCCTTCTCTCCTATTATTAAGATTCTTACTTGATTAAATGAAAAAAATACATGGAGCGTATGGCATTCGTCTTTGAATTATTATCGAAATCACTGTTTTCAGAAATTATCAGGAAAACCTGGGATTAATTCCAATCTTACAATTAAAAACCGCAATTTTCAACAAGATACCGAACTGGACGTCGCGAATTAATCTTACAAGAACCGATAAGAAATAATTTACCATAATGAAAATCGTTTCTACTCCTCACTGATTCTTTCCTGTTCCTCATAGTTGCATTCATTTGAATTTGTTGCATTTGCATTCACTCGCAAAAATATTCGCGATCGCGTTAAAAAAGAAATTCGATAATATACGAAGCACTTTGCATCACTGTTACTCAAGTGTCATCGTGAATAATAGCAAGACCATAAGATATAAATATTAGCGCATTACTGTTTATGCCATCAAAATAAAACATGACATTATAGATAATTTGATGCTGAAACGTTTTACGTACTATAACATATACTCTTATACACGCAAAATATTAAATTGTAGAAATTTTTTTAATTTATAGATTAATTAAATAATTATTTATTAAACAATTAATTAAAATACGAAACGTTTCGCATCATTACTTACTGCTTGAAGGTCATCGAGCAAATGATAGCAAAATCATAACATATAAACGACAACTATTGTTTACTGTTGTCTTGTTTACTGTTATGTATTATTTTAGATTCCTACCACTTTGATTTTTGATTAAACATTTATAACGAGTAGTATTGAATTTGGCCTCATATAAATGTGGGACGAATTCTATTTCCCTTGTGTTCTCTATCCTTTACAATATAATAAAATGCGTTTCTTGTGTAATTATTCTACAATCCGAGAATGCAAAATGTCTTGCGATTGTTCCACATATGACTAATTATTATTAATTTTATTTTCGGAAGTGAATATATATATATATATATATATATATATATATATATATATATATATATACTAGAACAGTACAAGCGCATCATTTATCTTTATACTTTAAAAAAAGTCATATATATATATATATAATGGGCATAATTTCGAGTTGTGTTTTGTGCTACGTGCACGAAATAAGATAACACGAGTTATTATAATGCAAAATAACTATATATATGTTAAATAATTTTTTAATATAAATACTATAAATAAGTTTTATGGTCTCTCTTTGTTCATTATTTTATTAATACATTATTAATACATTACCTGATATTAATCACACATCGCCTACCACCATCACTGCTACTGCCATCATGTGATGGTTTTGACTACAAGAATTCATCATTGAAAATAAAGTATAACATAGAAAATATCCTAAGTAGTTTATTGCTAAATATTAAATATAATAGGACTTGAAAAAATGGAATATCGTAAACCTAATATCTGAATGACTTGAAAATATTGAATATTTTAAATCAATAAATCTGCAAGTGTAATTGCTATTTGGCCACAAGATTGGGCAAGATTGATAATCAATGGCTCCAATGGTTCCAACATGTAGTCTTTAATATACATTAGAATATTGTAGATAGAAGTAGGGACTATTTATTAAAAAAACACAATTGTTTTAAAATAAAAATAACTCTATGCAATATAAAAACAAAATAAAAATTACATAGAAGTTTTATTGAATAAAAGGATATATTTGGTAAGAAATGTCTCTGTAAAAAGATGATTGTTTGAAAAAACTGGTTAAAACATACAAGCTTATCTTAATATAATTCATATCAAGAAAGGATACATAATCATATTACTCAACTTAATACATTTCATTATGTCAGATACAGCAATAAATATAAAACTTACAAATGTATTTATTACATTTTTTACAAGTGTATTTATTTTTTCTTTTCAATTCGTATAAGATTTTTCTTTAATACTGGTTTGTATGTTAGAAGCTTACTGTAACTTTTAAGAAGCTGTTTCCAAAAATGTATAACATCCGACATTTGTAAATTATTCCATATAAAATCTCTACCGCGATATGCAATCTTTTTCACTATATCATCATTACTCCTTGCAAATTCAATTAAATTTCTGAAAAAATAAAAAACAAAATAAATTAGCCATGATAATTTAATAAAGATAAGATAAGGTAAGGATAAAGAACTATAATCATATATATAACTAAATATTTTAATATCTTACTCTAATTCTTTTTGATCTGCATTTTTAGAAACAGGTATATAATGAATCCATGGCTTCATGGCATAATAATAAAATTCAGCCCATTCGTCACCTACATGGAAAACTAATGAACGGCATAAAAATAGATGTTTGTGTCTAAATGAAGCTGCCACACCTCGAAAATTAAACAAATATTTATATGTACAGTGCGATTCTAAAGATACTTCTGACGCTGGTGGTGCATGTAAAGTATCCTGAAATAATGTTAAAGTTTATATAATGATATTCTTCCAATATTTAATAATTAAATAAATAAATACATAATAATGTATAATTATACCTCCTCAGACTTCCATGCCTGATTTTTAGTATATTGAGCATCCACCAAGTGAGGTTTGTTGCGGCTCAATAAAATTAAATTATCACGTTCTGAACTTGTTCTAGAACCACGAAAGAATCCTTTATTATCTTTTTTTTCCCATGGAATCTCTGAGCTTGCTTTATTCAAAAGTTTACGATGTCGATCCCATCTATCAAGACCACGAGGATATAATGAGATAGCAGGACCACCTTCCCAAAATGCCCATGCTGGATACATAATATCATAATATTGCGATGTCTATAAATATATTTTGCAAACTGCTCAACTTTCATTAAACAAATATAACTTAATTGCACAAATATATTTGCTTGTAACAAAAACTTCAGAATTGGTAACAATTAATAAAATCTCTTACCTTACTAAACGAAAAAATAGGCATTGCATTACCAAAATATTCACTGGATTGGGGATAATCTCTGGTATTTATTATTAAATCCATATTTGATAAATTACCAATTACTTTTAATAGAAAATGTTCTATTCCAGCACATCTTGCTGGAAACATACAGTCTTTTTCTCTGTACAATTTTCCTCCAATTATTTGATAAAATGTACCTCTATGATTATAATAGAATTTAGTATAAATAAACAGAAGAGATCAATATTATCTTACCAATATAAATCAAGATATTATAACCACCTGTTTTTTGCAGCAACTATCATTTCTTCGCTTATGCCTTTCTTTTTAAAAGGGCTCAAGTCCCGTACAATGACATCTTTAAAGCACGAGTGCTTTGTATTATTACATTCTTTATAATCTTGTTCTGCATCTTGAATCGCTGTCAGATATTTTTGATATCCCTCATTTATTGCTGATAGGAAAAGAATAATATACATTGGATTTTACATTTTCTTTTATTACATCATCCTAAATATTTCGGAATTATTGCAATTAATTTTTACCCAAATTTGTTGATACATTGTAGAAACTTATAAACGTACACGATATATACCTTTTGCATATGATAATTTCTGATGATCAATCTCGTTCTCTTTACATAAATCAGCACTCTCCGCCGAACAGAATTGTTCTTCGCACAAACCGCTTGCGAAAAATATCAAAATTATGATGTAAATTAATCTCAACATATTTTTATTTTTAATAATCCAAGTAATGCAAGTGTACATACAAAGAGAAAAATGAAAGACGCTAAAGAGCGATCATGCCCATGACACCTGTCAGAGAGAAAGCTGAGAGATGTCATGGCCTGCTTTTAGATGATCCCTGAAAGCGATACTCCCTCTATGGACATTGAAAACGTGGACATGAACTACAAAGCCAATGTCCATGAATGTTCTCAGAGGATATCATGTGCACAATTTCTGGTTTCGTTCCGTGCTATGTGCACGAAATGCCGATAGCACCAAAGTATAACAAGACACTCATGTATATAAATTGATAGTAAATAAATTATGCAATCGTGAAAGATACTGTAATCTTCCAGTGTAATGTTCAAAGATGAAATAAATATTTTTCTATATTCATTGCCATGTTTATATATTTTTATTTACACAAAATGCCTGCTGTGGAATAAAAACATTTTTAACCGTTATTTCTATAAATCTTAATTAGCAATAAACTGATCTTTGATATTTATTAATCACTTTTTTAATTATTTAAAAAAGTTATTATATTATTAATTATTTATTTATTTATTTATTACTAATTTAATTATTTAATTATTAATACATTATTTACTTATTTAATTATTAATACATGTATAGAATTTGTCAAATTAATCACTGATTGTTCTAAAGTTTTTATAATTAAGATTCGAAAAATATAGTTGCAAAATATTTTAAATATCTCTTCCTTTATATAAAATATAAAGAATTCATATGTTCCATTCTAATATAGTCAACATTACTTATATACTTTCATTATAATTTTCTTACCAGCATAATATTTTTATGCTTAATATTTTATATAATACAATGTACTAAATTATAAAATTTAATATAATTACAAAATAGTATTACTATTAATAAATAGGTTGTATTCATACTGTCTTTTAATTTCTAATCATTTCCAATCATTATGCATTTCTATTACCTATTTCTATTATCTATTATTTTCTTTTTGGAGTTCTTGGATTATTATGGTTTATTGTATATTCCTTGGTGTTAAAATCATAGGGATTATCATCATTTGTCATGCTTATTCCTTCCTATGGAGTCCATCGAAATATTTTCTATGGACATTTGTTCTCTCGAGTATAGATATTCAAATCACACACACTCAGAGAGAGAGAGAAAGAGAGAAAGAGGAGGAGAAAGGGTTTGAGATATTCAAATCACTGTAGTTGTCTTTTTTCTATTTTCTCAATTACTGTCTCTTTTTCTTTCCTTTTATTCAAAAATATTAATATAATTCAAAATAACATATATATATATATATATAATATATATATATATATATATATATAATTTTGATATCTTTCTTAGTCTGACTCTTTCCCTTCGACTTGTCCGGCATAGGTAACCCTATTTAAGGCTGGCATTCATAATTCATTCTTATTTAAGATCGTCTTAAATAAGTAAAATTTTTGAAAAAACGCGACAAATAAATAAATCGATAATATTTAAAATATTCGACACATAATTTTTATAATATAATAATTGAAGTCATCAGATACGCGACATACCAATAAAAATATCCGATAAAAAGAAAAGCGATCTTAAAAATGGAGAATGATTAACATTTTGTTTCTACATCAGATTTCGCAAGATCAATTTTTGAAGAAAAGTTAAGTGATCCATTGAACGTCGGGAACTTCACTGTAGGAGGGAACGAATCCTGGATCTTCCGGACTATACCCGATAGCAATGATTTCAGTAATATATCAACGACAAAACAATTATCCCTCGTCATTGTCTTCAATTCACGAAATTGATATACATGTCAGAAAACATGTTCTTTCATTATTAAGAAATATATATCTTTATTGAAAATTAAATAACGATTTTTTTATAAAAATATGATTACGTACGATTATATTTATAAATAATAAAATACATGCATCATTGGAGTTTGTGTTAAATGTGCGAACACAATAATGTGAGATACCGTTCGCGCGCGCGAGACGAATCGAATCCGATATCAGCAAGATTTAAAAAATTTCAATTTGAATAGTGTGCAAAATAAAATAAATCAAATAATTTTAAATAATTAATTCTAGATTAATTCTCTAGACTCTTATAACGTTTAAACTGACAATTTTTTTTCTTTTAATCAATATCTTACTGATATAGAGGTATCCATTCGATTTGTCTCGAAATTTTCAAATATTCGCACATTTGATGTAACATTCATGTATAATTTCGCGTATATATAACATATAACATTAATAAAAATTATAAAAATATTTTGGATACGTGAATTTGTGCATGTATTTTATTATACATATGTATAAAATGATATATATCTAAAAATTAATATTTCAAAATGGTTATGGATGTCCAATACCTGCAAATAGTTTCTTAAAAGAAACTAAAAATTAATGTTAATATCCCCAGTACCTAGAAATAATTTTTCAAAAGAGAGACAAATTATATTAATTAAAAATATATTTGTTCGTAATCATTTTTATCAAAAAATTAATAAAAATTAATCACAATATGAAATTATTTGAAAAATAAAAATTTATAAACAACGCTATATCCATATTTAATCTAATATTAAATCTTTCTAGCATCAGAGAATAATAATACCAATCCTAATAATAAATATTTTTAATGAAGAAAAGAAAAGATACATTTCTTCCATCTAAATATATATTATTTAAATTAATTCAACTTTAAAGAAGCGTATGGCGTTCGTCGTTGAATTACTATCAAAATCATTGCTTTTGGAAATTGTCAGAAAAACCTGGGATTAGTTCCTTCAATCTTACAATAAAAGTTCCCAATTTTCAACAAGGCACCGAACTAGACGTCGCGAATGGATCTCACAAGAACCGGTGAGAAATTCGCCATGATGAAAATCGTTTCGATTCCTCGGCGGTACGAGCCGCGCACCTTTTATTAACGTTTATTTAACGGAAGGAACAATGATAAGTCTTTTATTAAAACGACAATCTCGTCTAAGAACGTGAAAAGAACGTGCGAAAAAGAAAGTGGTTCGCAACCATCATTTATTAATTTATTTATGAATATTTTCAGATACAAAATTTGTAAATACAAATATAATTGAAAAAACAAATGATTAAATTCATAATAATTAACTCTCAATTCTATAATATCGAAGGTAATCGTTAAATTTTTTAAAGTTAATATTTAATAGTTGACTTATCACATCGAATCTTCACTCTCTTATTCGACATTTCTTTATATTTAATTAGCAATATTTAGGAATATTATCTGACGAGAGGGACAGCGATAAAATTCTTTTGTTAAAATGATAATCTTGTATAAGGACGCTAAAATAATAATAAGGACGTTAAAATGATAATCTTGCATAAGGACGCAAAAAGAACGCGGAAAGAACACGATATTTTCGCAATCATAATTTAATAATTTATTTTAAGAATATTCAGTTCCGCGCGATATGGAATTAATAAATAAAAATAGCTAACGGAAAGCATATCATTAAATTTATAATAATTGACTCGCGATTCTGTAACAAAGGCGTCCGTCAAATTTTATAATGCTTATATTTAATCATTAATTTAGCACCGAATTTTTACATTTTATATAAAAATTTTCCGAATTTATTAATGCCTCTTTGACATAAAAATACAAACAGTTACTCTTTTATGAATATTCCAAAAATATATACTTCAGAAACAAATACTTTAATTTAATGAATTATGTTAATTACTATTATGTAATCATTATACGTATACTTTCGATAATTTTTCGTATAAGAATTTACAATCGTAAATACAATTTCATATAATATAATTATAGTCATAATTGTATTATATTTTACAATTAAAATATCAATGTTAGATTATAATTAAAATACAATTATAACTATTTACAATTATAACTATTTACAATTATAACTATTTACAATTTAAAATTTACAAATTTATGATGCTATCAATATCAAATAATAATATTTTATTTATTCAAATATTTAATAACATCGATATAATAATTTGATAGCATTAACATTTGAATTTAATATTATATTTGATTTAATACACATATATTTTTAACTTTTAAAATAAAATATAACATGTTATGTTATGTTATTTCTTAAACGTTAATAATTACAAATTTGCAATTTCTTTAATATTTCTGAAAATAATTTTGATAATTTAAATTTCATTTTTAAAATGTTTTTATTTTTAAAACATGTTATATTTATTTTTACAACGTTTTTAAAAATAAATTCAACTTAATTAAAATAATTTTAATTAGGATTATTGGAATATTAAAAGAAAGAATGAATCTTAATAGCCCTAACAATCCTACTATTACAGAATTCTAATGATTTTAAGAACTCTATCAATCCTAATATCAATAGAAGAATTCTAATGATTTTACTTAATAGCCTTAACTTAATAGCCTTTTACTTAACAACTCTACTTCCTGATTAACTAAAATTATTCGAAATTTGAGGAATCTATCTCTAATCATCACCTCACCTAATCATGTATATATATATTTTAGTCACATGCCCTAACCGCGTACCCTAACCGCGTGCCCTAACCGCGTGCCCTAACCGCATACCCTAACCGTACTCTTCAGACCAGTTGAATCTATCTTTCGTTGATCCTGGCCACTTTCTTTCTCGATCTCTAATCAGAGATCGAAGAAAGAGATACTTACTCCTTCTTTTGCCAGATAATTATCGGCAAAAGAGCGTAAAATATTTACGCTCATTTAGTAACGATCGTTCGATTTCATGATCGCTCGTTAAATATTGAATATAACTTTATTTTAATTGAAATAAAGTCAAATTACTACAAATTTTTACAAATTTCTATAAATTATATTTTATAATAAAATATAAAATTAATATGTGCATTTATCATATTACAAATTATTTAATTAATTAATCATTTGGCTTTATATTAAGTTAAAATAAAGTTTAAAAACAATATCTACAAATAAATTCTACGATGGATGAGCAAACAGAAGATAAGTGCGTATTATAAGAATAAATTAGCATCAAAAATTGATAATTGTTAAAGCGTGTCCTTTATTTATAATAAATTAGACAA